CTTCATCAAAAGTAATACTATCCTGGAGCACCTGGGTGGCTCAGTCAAGTGTACAACTTGGTTTTGGCTCAGGTCATGATCTTGGGGTCATGGGATCAAGCCCTGCATCGGGCTCCATGGTTAGCGAGTCAGCTTGGGATTCTCTCTTTCCCTTGCCCCTCCCCTGGCTCTCATGCAGGGGCTCTCTCTTCTAATAAAATCTTTAAAAATAAAAAGTAATACTATCCTGGGCGCCTGGGTGGCACAGTTGGTTAAGCGACTGCCTTCGGCTCGGGTCATGATCCTGGAGTCCCGGGATCTAGTCCCGCATCGGGCTCCCTGCTCGGCAGGGAGTCTGCTTCTCCCTCTCCCACTCCCCGTTTGTGTTCCCTCTCTCGCTGTGTCTTTCTCTGTCAAATAAATAAATAAAAAATCTTTAAAAAAAAAAGGTAATACTATCCTATCTTCACTTTTTAGTTGGAATACCTCTGTAGTGAGAAACTTCCCCTCATAAGTACCTAGTTACCCTGAGGTACAGTTCATACAGAAAAGGATTATGTACTGGTTTTAAGAATGAGTTGGTTTTGTTGTAGTATTCAAAGATGAGACCAATGAGGTTTCTTAGGTGTCGCTGTGAGCTCAGAGATTTTAACTAATTTTGTGTTTCAATTCACTGTAGTTCTTCATGATGCTCAAATTGTTCTATTTTTAGCCTGTGGAAACTCTTCCTATTGGCTCTTAAGTTCTTTTGATAAGACCCCAGTAGTCGAGAACAGTCGTCAATTAATGGTGTTGGGAAAACTGGACAGCCAAATGCAAAAGAATGAAACTGTGCCACTATCTTACACCATACACAAAAATCAACACCAAATGGATTAAAAGCTTGTATGTAAGGCGTGAAACTGTAAAATTCCCAAAAGAAAATAAAGGCCATAAGCTCCTTGACATCTGTCTTGGTGATGATCTTTGGATTTGACACCAAAAACAAAGTCAACAACAACAACAAAAAACAAACCAAGTGGAACTATATTAAACTGGAAAGCTAATGCACAGCAAAGGAAATAAATGAAAAGGCAACCTATTGAATGATATAAAATATTTATAAATAATATATTTGAAAAGGGTTTAATATTCAAAATATATTCAAAAAACCACCAAAATATATATATATATATATATATATATATACTTTTTTTTTAAAGATTTTGTTTGAGAGAGAGAGACACAGCGAGAGAGGGAACACAAGCAGGGGGAGTGGGAGAGGGAGAAGCAGGCCCCCCACGGAGCAGGGAGCCCGATGTGGGACTCGATCCCAGGACTCTGGGATCATGACCCGAGCCGAAGGCAGACGCTTAACGACTGAGCCACCCAGGCGCAACCACCAAAATATATTAATTCATACAACTCAATAGCAAAAAAACGCAATCCAATCCAATCCAAAAATGGGCAGAGGATCTGAATAGACATTTTTCCAATGACAAAGAGATGGCCAACAGGTACACAAAAAGGTGTTCAATATCACTCATTAGGGAAATGCAAATCAAAAACAATGGGCTATTAACCTCATACTTGTCAGAATGGCTAATATCAAAAGAACAAGAGGGATGCCTGCGTGGCTCAGTCAGTTAAGCATCGGACTCTTGATTTCCACTCAGGTCATGATCTCAGGGTTGTAAAATGGAGCCCTGTATCAGGCTTCACTACGGGTGAGAAGCCTGCTTAAGATTCTCTCTCCTTCCCTCTGCCCCTGTCCCCAGCCCCACCCAGCGTATGCACTCTTAAAAAAAAAAAAAAAAAAAAAAAGGTATGTGCATCCCCATATTCACTGCAGCATTGTTTACAATAGCCAAGATATGGAAACAACCTAGGTGTCCACTGATGGATGAACAGATAAGATATGTGATACATGAGCATGTACACATACACACACACACACACAGAATACTCCAGGGGCACCTGGGTGGCTCAGTTGGTTCAAGTGTCTGCCTTTGGCTCAGGTCACGATCCCAGAATCCGGGGACTGAGTCCCGCTTCAGGCTCCCTGCTCAGCGGGGAGCCTGCTTCTCTCTCTCCCTCTGCCTGCCACTCTGCCTGCTTGTTCTATCAAATAAATAAATAAAATCTTTTTTTAAAGATTTTATTTATTTATTTGACATAGAGACAGAGAGGGAACACAAGCAGGGGGAGTGGGAGAGGGAGAAGCAGGTTTCCTGGTGAGCAGGGAGCCCGACGCGGGGCTCGATCCCAGGATCCTGGGATCATGACCTGAGCTGAAGGCAGACGCCTAATGACTGAGCCACCCAGGCACCCCAATAAATAAAAAAATACTCAAAGGTCATAGAAAAGAATGAAATCTTGCCATTTGTGATAACATGGATGACCCTGACGGCATTATGCTAAGTGAAATAAGTCAGAGAAAGGCAAATACCATATGATCTCACTTATATATGAAATCTTTAAAAAAACAGGGACGCCTGGGTGGCTCAGTTGGTTAAATGTCCGCCTTCAGCTCAGATCATGATCCCAGGGTCCTGGGATCAAGTCCCACATCCTTCTCCCTCTGTCTGCCACTCCCCCTGCTTGTGCTCTCTCTGAAAAATAAAATATTTTAAAAAACAACAAAACCCCCCCAAAAATCCCAAGCTCATACATAGAGAGGACAAACTGCTGGTTGCCAGAGGCAAGGGAGGAAATGGGGGGATGGGGAGGATGGGGGTGGATGAAATAGGTGATGGAGGTCAAAAGTTTTATAAGCTTCCAATTATAAAGTAAGTATTAGGGATGAAATGTACAGCATGGTGGCTATAATCAATAATTATTGCATATTTGAAAGTTGCTAAGAGTAAATCTTAAAGTTCTCATCACAAGAAAAAAAAACTGGAAACTACATACATTGACAGATGTTAACTAGACTTACTATGGTGATCATTTCACAATATATAAAAATATTCAATCATTATGTTATACATCTGAAAATAAAATGTTATATGTCAATTATACCTCAATAAAGAAAAGTCTATTAGGATGTTACAAGTACTTATACAAGAAAAAAAAAAGACCCTAGTAGTTTTTGTTAATTTCCTTTCTTACTGGGGCGCCTGGGTGGCTCAGTTGGTTAAGCGACTGCCTTCGGCTCAGGTCATGATCCTGGAGTCCCGGGATCGAGTCCCGCATCGGGCTCCCTGCTCGGCGGCGAGTCTGCTTCTCCCTCTGACCCTCCCCCCTCTCATGTGCTCTCTCTCATTCTCTCTCAAATAAATAAATAAAATCTTTAAAAAAAAAAAAAATTCCTTTCTTACTCATATAAAAAGGTGTTCCAGGTTCATCTTGTTCATATCTGCCTCAGTCCTATAAACAGCTACTTCTCTTTTTATATGGTTATGTATTTAACATTCCTTTGTTCTTTTTCCCCTTAAAAAAGACTAAATTTGGGGCACCTGGGTGGCTCAGTCGTTAAGCATCTGCCTTCGGCTCAAGTCAGGATCCCAGAGTCCTGGGATCGAGCCCCGCGTCGGGCTCCAGCCCCGCGTCGGGCTCCAGCCCCGCGTTGGGCTCCCTGCTCATCAGGAAACCTGCTTTTCCCTCTCCCACTCCCCCTACTTGTGTTCCCTCTCTGTGTCTCTCTCTGTCAAATAAATAAAATCTTAAAAAAAAAAAAAAAGACTGTAAATTTAAGAACTGCACTATATCTAAAGTGTATCAGCACATATCCCGGTATTAGAAAACTGGTCTCCAGTATGTATGTATGAAATTGAACTAAAAGATTATCATCTGTCTCACTATTCTACAATTGTCCACTGAGTCAAAAAAAGGCACCACTGGGAACATTGAGCACTTACTTATCTTCTCCCCAAATGATCCAAGGGCATGGCTCAATCTCACCTTGCTAATTATTCTTTCTTGTTACGGGAAGATGTACATCATCTGGTGAGTGCTCCTTGTAACAGGGATTCTAAAAAAAAAAGAAAATTCTAGAAGAGAAAGAGTGAGTGTTCTCTATGTGCATTTCTTTTTACAGTTGGAAATCATTATAGGGTAAAGCATATAATGGTCAATATTTGCTTAATTTAACAAGATTACAAATTCATGTACAGATATTTGGTCATTTAGAGAAGAAACTGCTGTAATTCCTTAGTTGTAGTCCCCCCTCCCATTAAAGGGTTGTATTATACTCCGTGTGTCTACAGGGGAGTAAATGGTACTTCACTCTGACCATTTCAAGTCACTCTCACACATTGTACTCCAGTTAAGCAACGCTGTCTTATGTCAATTTACACAAATCTTTTGAGTTTTACACTACACCACTATAGCTTAGGTCTTCTTCATTGGCTTTTACTTATTGTAAGATTTCTTCATGTATTTAAGGATGCAATCTATGGAACTCCATTCTTCAAATTCATTATGCTTAAGTACATCCAGGAACTTGAGGGCAGACCAGACATTCCGTTATTGATCTTCACCTACTTCATGAAATGATTGGCACTTCAGGTTTTTTTTTTTTAACATTTATTTATTTGGGGGGGGCGGAGAGAGCGAGCACGCATGCAAATGGGGGAGGGAGGAGCAAAGGGAGACTCGATGCTAAGCATGGAGCCCAATGTGGGGCTCAATCTCACAACCCTGAGATCATGACCTGAGCTGAAATCAAGAGTCAGATGCTTAACCCCGACTGAGCCACCCAGATGCCCCACTTCACAGACAGTCTAACCCAGGGATTATTTGTAACTGTTTTTAGGCACATTGGTTTTTGTTTTTTTTTAATAAAATCTTATATGGAACTCTTATGGATCAGAGACAGGAAAAACATACAACTATTAAGATACCTAGGAAAAAAATCATTTATTATACTAATATAGTGTATATAAATAATTTTTTTTAAGTCTGGCAAGGATTTATTAGGAAGTTTATTACGGTAAATAAAAAGCCATGAACACAGAACTGAGATCTCCAAATTCTAGTATTGCGTTTACAACACTAGTTAGAAGCTAATATACATTAAGGATATCCCAAAGGGAATCATACCTAAGTCCCAATCTTACCTGACCAGGATACCCACAAACACAGAAATGATGCCCAGACTGCTTACCTAGACAGTAGCAAAAAAGGCCGCCTCCTTAAGCTATTAAACATCATGGGGCCCCTGGGTGGCTCAGTTGCTGGGCGTCTGCCTTCAGCTTGGATCATGAACCCAGGGTCCTGGGATTGAGCCCCACATCGGGCTCCCTGCTCAGTGGGAAGCCTGCTTCTCCCTCTCCCACTTCCCCGCTTGTATTCCCTCTCTCGCTGTCTCTCTGTCAAAAAATAAATAAAATCTTAAAAAAAAAAAAGCTATTAAACATCATCAGGAGATTCCTGCTTTTCTATCTATAACCATAGGACCCTAGTATATAATAGGCAACTCCAAGCTGGGCAAATTGACAAGAATGTTGAATGCTAACGTGGAGAAGGAACAAAGAGGAGTAAGTGTATCTAGTTGGAGACCCTTGTGATAGCTAATACAAACACAATGCTGAGGCTTCAAAAAGTTTACTGCAGCCCAGGAATAGTTTCCATTTAAAAAAAATCACAATCTTGCTCTTGCCGAATGCTGTTGTTGGAGGACCCTCCCTGCTTCAGATTTACCAACAGCATGAATCAAGAAAAGTTAGCCAAACTTCAGGCTCAGGTCCAGATGGGGGCAAGGGCACAGCTCGCAGAAAGAAAGTGGTAGTACACAGAACAGCTATAGCTGATGACAAAAAACTTCAGAATTCTCTAAAAAAAAAATGGCTGTGAATAATATAGCTGGTATTGAAGATGTGAACATGATTAAAGATGATGAAACAGTTATTCATTTCAACAATCCCAAAGTCCAAGCTTCCCTTTCTGCTAACACCTTTGCAATTACTGGTCATGCAGAAGCCAAACTAATCACAGAAACGCTTCCTGGAATATTAAGTGAGCTTGGTGCTGACAGCTTAACAAGTCTTAGGAAGTTAGCTGAACCGTTCCCCTGGCAAGTGTTGGAGAGCAAAGCACCAAAACCAGAAGACACTGATGAAGAGGATGATGATGTTCCATATCTCGTAGAAAATTTTGATGAAGTATCAAAGAATGAAGCTAACTAAAATTTTTTCTGGAGTTTGGAAGCTGGCATGGACTAGATTTAACAAATCAGCTATGTGGTTCCAAAGCTTTACAGACATGGAGAACATCAACTGTTACTAGTTCAGTAATATAAATATTTTGTTTATTAATAATGCTGTTGGGCGCCTGGGTGGCTCAGTTGGTTGAGCGGCTGCCTTCAGCTCAGGTCATGATCCTGGAGTCCCGGGATCGAGTCCCGCATCAGGCTTCCTGCTCAGCGGGGAGTCTGCTTCTCCCTCTGACCCTCCCCCCTCTCATGTGCTTTCTCTCTCATTCTCTCTCTCTCAAATAAATAAATAAAATCTTAAAAAAAAAAATAATAATGCTGTTTGTTCAGCATTTCTCGGTCATTTGATTTTGCATTTTGCACTTCCTCCCAGGATCTATTCTTTTGGTCAAAATACGAAGTATTGGTGCAGTTCGAGGGTGTTTTGGTGTTTGATTCTCAGTTTTCTGTTTTTTTTGTTGGGGTATTTTTGGTGTGTGTATGTGTATGTATGCGTGTGGGTATGTGTGTATACAGTGGAGAGCAAATTGGAAAACAGTTCTATTTATCTTCCTTCTAATCGCTTCTCGGCCTTTTGGCTAAGATCAAGTGTATTTATCCTCCTTCTACCCCCAGTAGAAAATAAAACAAATCTTTACATTAAAAAACAAAACAAAACAAAAAAACAATTCACATAAAAATCCTGCCACAAGCAACAAGACACTTGTAATTGATCTCATGGCCACAGTGACAGTAAAGGCAGGCATTATCCAATGACTATTAGATGCTGACCAGCCCAAGGTCCAATTTCTAGGCCTAAACCACAATTGTTCCTTGGCACCCACACAACCCTCCCCACATAAATACCCAATCTCTTAAACTCCAGCTGTGAAAAGTTCCAAATTTCTAACATTAACACACCAGCCACTGAAACAGGGTAAAAATCCCACAGACCATTTTACCGGCTCCCTCTTTCCACCAGGAAAAAAAATCCCTAGGAATTGTAATTTGGATCTGCTCTACCTTTAGGCTCTCACCTTCAATTTTCTGCTACAACTAGTGTAGCAGGTCAACAGATGGGTACCGAAAACAGTGGAAGAGGACAGAACAAATTAGAAGAAACTAAAAAGAGAATTAGCATTCACTATTGACATGGGTGCTATAAATAGTACCAGGCACTTCACACAACTTATTTAATCTGACAAGAGTCCCACAAAATAGGCAGTATCCCCATTTTATGATAAAAACACAAATTCTGCAAGATTTAAGTGCCTTGCCCGACCCAATGTAAGGAGCAAAGTCACGGTTCAACCCTAAGGCTGCCTAGCTCCAGAGATATTTCCTTTAACAACCCCATCGACTTCCCAAAGAGTCAAAGGGTACAGCCCTTAGGAAATCTTTCCACAACCATTCCTCCCCTGCTTTCTTTACTTTGGCTCTTAAAACTGGCCCACGCATCAGCAACCAATAATTTCATTCTGTACCTAACAGCACTGTGTTCTCAAGTTGCTATTGGTATTTTCAACATCAAAACAATCCTCCTTCCCTCCCCCACCTCCACCCATTAACTAGGGATGTTATCTATACCCCAATATTTAACTTTATTTTTATTGTTTTTGAAGATTTTATTTATTTGATAGAAACACGGCGAGAGAGGGAACACAAGCAGGGGGAGTGGGAGAGGAAGAAGTAGGCTTCTCGCTGAGCAGGGAGCCTGATGCAGGGCTTGAGGGGCTCGATCCCAGGGCCCTGGGATCATGACCTGAGCCGAAGGCAGACACTTAAGACTGAGCCACCCAGGCGCCCCCAATATTTAACTTTATTACCTAACATTAGACCTGGAGAAGTTCTGAGGTCAAGTACAAATCCTTCATTTTTCAGAAAAGGACAAGCTGTGCCAAGAGAGGTTATATATTCTACACTCATCATATGTCATTTTGAAAAAAATCTGTATCACTCTTATGTCACAGGAGGTTCTTCCTGGAAACTGACGGTCATGGTTGCATTTATAAAGCCTCCTCCTTGCTGAAGGAAATAGCATCTCCCTGTTCTATTCCTTTCAAATCTCTTCTGCTAGAAATCAATGCCAGGATTTGCATGTAAGACACTGGTTTTCAATTCTAAGAGATGATGAATTTACAGCAACTAGGCAAGTAAGCTTTGGGAGCTACAGTGTAACTATCTGGGATTAGAATGTTCTAAGAAACAAGTTATATTTCTCAGTAATTACCAAGTTTGAATGATTCAAATGCTGACAAACAGCAATTCTGAGATGTCACCATCTTACTTCAGGATGAATCACATATAAAAGCAAGCCTGTGAGGTGGTCCAGAAAGCCTATAAAGCCATGAAACATGGACCTGAAGCAATGCTATAAACATAAAAATGAAGAGATGTAGATCAAGGCAACCAAGTGAAGAAAGCAGGAATTGGGGCAAGAGAAATGAAGTAGGGAAAAGCCTGGGACATGGTACACATCCAGTCAGTAAGCGTTTATGATTATTTACTTTAAGAAGGTCCATTGCTAAGCACAGTGATGGCACAAAGAAGTACAGTAAGTACTGTGTAATGAATGAACACATCCCATGAATTACAAAATGGTAACTAAAGAAGAGATTCCACCCTGGGAATTCATTTGCTGGGGGAGAGACTTACCCTGTAGGAAATGTGTCCTTACCTTATGGTAACAGAGGTAATGGGTTGCTGCATGATAAAATGCACTGGACACTGAACATGGAGTCTGGAAGCCATAAACTAGCTGTGTGACTCTGAGCAAGTCCCTTTCACCTTTCTTTGCCTCAGTTTCCCTACTTATGAAATGGGGATAATACTCCCATCTCAAAGGTGTGAGCAAAGTTGAGATAACATGCAAAAAGGACTCAAAGCGCACGTAAATGCAACTGCCTGACTGACATCACCACTTCCATGTCTCAAACTTAATAGGCCCAAGAGGAAATTTCCAATCATCCCTCAAAACCTGCTCATTTTTCCCATCTCAGTAAATGTAACCATTTCCATGCTCTGGGAACATTCTTGCTTTCTCCACATCCAATCCATCATCCAGTCCTATTCGTTCTAACCCCCTGTATATCACTGACTTCCATCTGCACTATCATCACCCTAGTCTAAGCTATAATTATCTCTCACATGAATGACTGCAGCAGCCAAAACGATCTCTCAGCTTCCACTTTTGCTCTGTCCAATCCAAACAGAACCATCTCCTTAAAAACATAACTATACATTCATGTCATTTCCCTACCTCTATAAACCCTTTAAGCTGTCCATTGTTCTTAAAAGAAGTCAAACTCCTAAACCTGGCTTTCAAGGCTCTAAATGATCTGTCCTCTGTCTCCTCCTCAAGCTACTTCAGCCATTCCTGACCTTGTTCCCGCGTACTGGCTTTTTAAGCACACACTTTTTTTTTTTTTTTTTTAATGTGTTATGCTCTCTTCTGACAAAACCCCTACTCATTCTTTGGGTCTCATTTCAAAATTAGGCCCTTTTATTACACTCTCACAGCATTCCAGAATACCTACGTATTTATGCAATTATTATACAAAAGTACACAATCACAAATGGTTATAAACCCAACGAAACTGAGAGCTCCACTAAGTAGGCACTGTTATATCCAGTTCACCTCAGCATCCTCGGGAAAACCGAATCTAGCACAGTTTGGGCCCAAATATTTGAACAAATCCAACTGAGGTGAAGAGAGTCAACTAAAAATTCTAACTCAAAAAGATAAAGTTCCAACTTATATAGCTGCCCATTTGCTTCAACACTCTCCCCACCTCCACTCTCAAAAGCTCAGACTAAACCATTCGTGGGCTCAAATACCTCAAGGTTTCCAATCTCCCGCAGCCCCTGCTTTCCCCTCCCGTCCCCACAAAACTCCAGGTCCAAAATGAACCCATGTGAGCGCTGAGGCGAGACGTAACGCGCCTCTTTTGCCCTTGCGGGTGGCGGGGTCCCGGACCACCAGAAGAAAATTTCGGGCTGGGAGCCTGAACACTAGTCCGCGCAACAGTGACGCACGTCGGCCGGAGCACTTTGGCCGCTATGAAGCCACGAAGCTTGAGGCGTTTCTTTAAGACTCCTCAGGCGCAATTCAAATTGTGTGTTCCGGCCCAATCGTCTAGCCGCGAGTCGTAGATTTTCAGATGCCCATTCCATTCACCAAAGAGGGACGGCAAAGAGACGACCCCTGCGCCTCGCCCTTTAAAAAACACCCCCATGGGAGGCTGGCGGGTCGCTGAAAAAATCCTCGCGAGAGCCACCGGCTTCCGCCCGCTTCCTCCACTCCGCTAGCCGGACCGGAAGGAAGGCGGTACTTCCCCGCCCCGGGCCCTACCTCACAAGGCAGCGCGGCTCCAGCTGCGGCCAATCAGCGAGCTCATTGTAGGCCGCGGCGCGGACAGCCAATGGCAAGTCGCGGCGCGCGCAGAGCTTCCTCTCTTCCGCACAGGCCCCCTCCCTTCCGCCCGCCGACTTCCACTCAGCCTCTGGCGGAGGAAGTGATGTCACAGGCCCCATGTGAGCGGATTGCAACACATGCAGCTGCCTGGAGAGAGGGAACCGGTGTCCTACGTCAGAGCCGCCGCCGCGGAGCCGCCGCCGGGGAGGAGCAGCCGCTGCCGCCCAGGACTGGGCCCTTAGGTAAGCCAAGGGAGGAAAAGGCCAGCGACCGCCGCGGCGGGCCGCGCGGGGCGGGAAGAAGAGGGCCTCTTGGGGGTGGCAAGGAAGGGGGCCGCTCTGCCCCAGCGGCGGCGCTAACTCTGTGGTCTTGGTGTCTCCGGGCCCCGCCGGGCCGCTCTAGGGAGGAGGAGGCGAGAAGATGGCGGACGACCCCAGTGCTGCCGACAGGAACGTGGAGATCTGGAAGATCAAGAAGCTCATCAAGAGCTTGGAGGCGGCCCGCGGGTGAGCGCCGCGTCCGGCCCCCCCGTGCCCTCTTGGTTCCCGGACCCCTCAGGATGGCCGCCCCCGCGCCGCATGGCCGGATGAGGAGAACCAGGCAATAGTCAACTCCCGCCTTCTGGATCTCTGGGCAACTCTGGGTAGTTGCCCCCGACTCAGGGGCAAGGGTCTG